CTCTCTCTCTCTCTCTCTCTGCGCAACGGTCCAACCGCGGTGAAGCCCCTCACGTCGATGTGCCACGTGGACATGTTCGAGGACTATAACAACCGCCGCCCCACCCCCTACGCGCCTTCTTTCTTGTCGTCGTCGCCGTCGTCATCGGGGGGGCCCGGACCCAACCAATCAAGCCTCTTGCAATCCTCCGGACCTGTTACGCTGGCGTCGTGGCCGAAAGTAATGCCGCAGGGTGCCCATTGAGGGATGTACTCGGGGTGCTCGCCAAACGTGGGGTTCGCCTTCCCAAGCCTCTCGGTGACGGCTTTCGCGGCGCGGACGACGGATCGTCTATGGTCGAAGGAGCGATGCATGGACGCGACCAGTGTAGGCCTGGCCAGCAAGTTGACGGAGTAGAACGCCTCGTAGTGGCTGCGGAAGTCGTCTCCCGCCATGCGTATTATCCACATTGCCACCGCCAACAGAAGTCTGAAGCAGTCAGCCACCCGACAAAGACGGTCGTAGGAGATGAAATCGCCGTCAATGTGCGCTCCCATTTGCACCGCCGCGCGGAATGCTTGGGCGATGCAGATGACGATCGACTCCTGGTACGCCGCCATGTCGTCGTCGTCGGGTCTGTCGTCGATATGGGCGCCGGCGAACCACAGTGACAAGTCCATGTTAAGATCTATCGTGTGGCCGCAGATGGGCGCGCTGACGACGTTGGACGAGTCCTCGGCGTACCACATAGCACGCACGATGTCCGTCGCTACGGACTCTAGTGCGTACTGGTAAGCCAGGTTGTACCCCCTTGCGCGGTTGCCGGACTTGAAAACCCAACCGCGCAGAACGCGCAAAGCCACGTTCTCCACTTTCGCCGCACGGGAGATCGCTTGCTGCAGCTGCGATGGGTCGGAGATCCTGGCTACCCTCATGCTCGACTTCGGCAGGATGACGCTGCGAGAGACGACAGTCGCTGGAAGGCCGCTGGCGATGGCGACCAAGTATTTCCGCGTCTCGTGGATGATGTTGTACAATCTCCGCCCCTCCCCCGTCGTCTTGAACGCTTTGTCATCCACCCAGAGCAGGGCACGATCGATGAGCTCTCTGCTCATGGTTTCCTTGCGCACCCGGCTCGGACCAACATCGTTGCCCTCCCGATGGGTTGTCTTCTCGCCACGCTCGTCCTCTCTCGCCGTTGCCGCAACTGCTGCCTCCTCTCTCGCCATCGCCACGGGGGCCGAGTTCACTGTGGCGGTCCCGCCCGCAGCACCTGCCGCCTCGCCCTCGATTGTGCGTCGCTCTGGCGCGACTTCCTTTTCCGGGAGCGTGTAGTCATCAACGGGGCTGTGGAATCTTGTGCAAGATTGCGCTGGCGACGTCTTTCCAACGTCTCGTCATCATCGCCTTCCGCCACGACGACGGCAGCCTTGTCTTTCCTTGCATCGCGGCCACGCGCCTGCTGCGCCTCGGGTGCAGGGGAGAGCATCCTCTTCGACGCACTGTGATCAGAAGCTCGCTGGCGAGCGCTTTGTCCCACCGCCGATGCCGTCGCCTCCGCCTTCGGTTCCTCCATCCCGAAGTCGTCGTGAGACTCCATTTCCGCTGCGGTCGCCCAACCTTCAGAACCACGAGCAGGCACGTTTCCTGATGCTCCACCGGAGCGCACCTTCTTCGATTTCGGGATATGGCGCCGACCTTTCGCCTGCACAAGCCCGACGGCGGCTGCGGCATCGCGCTTCGTGCCACAGGCACTCCCTCGTGTCGACATGCTGGCCACGGATCTGTGGTGACAACCTTTTGCCCCTCCTTTCAACACTTGGAAGCGCTTCGTCGACCACCGTTCCTATCGCCCAGCGATGTGCTGCAGCGCGGCGACGACGAGGGAGAATCCTCAACGGCAGGGCAGAAGACGACGACGCAGACGTGCAGGGTAGAAGGACGACTACCCCGCTAACGCAGAAGAACCGTCCTTCGGCGACGCTTTACGGCGAGAAGATTTACGGTGGGAAGGGCGGGAACGGCGGCGAGAAGCTTCACTGCGAGAAGCTTTACGGCGAGAAGCTTTACGGCGAGAAGGGCGACGTAGCGCGACGAGATTGCTCGCGGCGAGAAGCTTTACGGCGAGAAGGGCGACGTAGCGCGGCGAGATTGCTCCGCGGGGAGAAGCTTTACGGCGAGAAGGGCGACGTAGCGCGGCGAGATTGCTCCGCGGTGAGAAGCTTTACGGCGAGAAGGGCGACGTAGCGTGGCGAGATTGCTCCGCGGCGAGAAGCTTTACGGCGAGAAGGGCGGCGTAGCGAGGCGAGATCGCTCCGCGGCGAGAAGCTTTACGACGGTGGTCTGCAGGCGTGGCGGTGAGTGTGACCCGCTCCAAGAAGAATGACGGCCGCTCTCCACGTCTCTAGATGGCTACAATGGTGGAGCATGCGCGGTGGGCTTCTGTGCGGGAAACACCCTCCAGACACAGTGCAGCGCGCGCAGCGAGAGGAATACAAGAGCCACAGCAAAGCAGGCGCAGCGGGATTCTGTACAAGAAACACCCTCCTGCGGACTGCATTTATGCGGCTTGGGTTGCGCAGGAGTGGACACTCCTTCCGCACACGGAGCGGCCACAATGTCATTTCCGCTCAGTGGAAAAAGGCGTCGTCGACGGTGACACATGATTTCGCCTTCTCTGTCTTGGCTTGTCATATCCTCCAACAACCGCGAAAGTGTACAGCTCCACACCCTTTGCGAACAAAATGAAGAAAACCCCCCTTCGCCCCCAAACACCCCATACCCCTACGCCCCCCATCTTCCTCGAAAGTAGATCCCCCTGGCAAACTACTGCCCTCACCCCCTCCCCCCCGCCCCCCCTGTAGACGAAGCAGTCTCGTCATGTGAAAGATGAGGAAAAAAATAAATAAAAGAATTACA